CAAGCTTTATTACAGGCTCACACATTATGTTGCTGTTGTGCACAAACACACAAATTGACTGGGGGTAAATAATGCACTAATAAAAAATTTACTCACATAAACTTCCAGGTTGATCTGTGTCTGTGTTGAGCCTCCTGTCAATCAATGCAGCCACATCCCTGACTGAATAATTCAGTGTACAAATAATAAAAAAGAACACTTCAGTCAGATTTGATAAATAGGAAATAGTCATAGAAATCAAAATTCTTTTTCAAAAAGGCTGTAAATATCCATTTCAATTTCATTTCAATGAAAAGTTGAATATGGGGGCTGACTCTCTTTTGGAGGTCAAGTTTTAAAGAATAAGCAAGGTGAGGATGAGGTGAAATGCATGGTGATAATCAGGGACCTAACAACTGTCAGTTATTCTTTTTTCTTTCTGCAGCAAACTTGAGGCAGGTAGGAACAGTGACCCATTCCAGAGGGATGTTCAACAGGATGTTTAACACTGCATACAGCCGCCCCCTCCAGTGTTTCAGAAGTAGAGGAACCCTGTCTGTGCCAGCAACTTTGTTGGGTTTGACGTGGCTTAGGGGCCGTTTCATTTCATGGGTCCCTGTCACCAGTGCAGATGATGGAGAGAAAAAGGAGTCATCTTTGTGGAGCATCATCACATCATGGTAGATAAAAATATTTCAGGAAAAAATGTGAAAATAACACAAAATACATTTTTTGTGATTTCAAAAGCTAAAATCACAAATGATTCTGCTCCCAGACTGTTGTAGGGATCCTGCATAATGAAATCATTATTTAATAATAACATGTAAACTGGAATTTCAAGGCTAATTTTAAGTGACTGAAACTGTAAAATTGAGGAGATGGAGCTGAAGAGTTCAAAATCTTCATTGTGAGTGAGCAGGATGGACAGGACGTGAAATGTTTAGTTAAGATCAGGTAAAGCAGTTTGGATATGTGCAGAGGAGGGGAAGTGGAAAGAAGACGAAGCTGCCAGGCAGGAGGAAAAGAGGAAGAACTCAGAGAATATTCATGGATTTACTGGAGGAGGACATGCAGAGGGTTGACTTGATAAGGGAGGATGCTCAGATGATCTAGTGTGGAGAACCTTAGAGGTAGCAGCCAAAAGAGGAAGAGGAAAGTAATTGCAAATGTGAACTAACCATTTTTAAAACATTTTTCAGGTTTTGTAGCTCTGACAACTCACAAATCACCCTCAAAATGGATCAGGTCCATCCAGGACCTCCTGCTGTCTACCAGCTGAGATCAAAGAACGTGAAGTCTGGAACTTTTACAAGAATTACTGTTGGTGAAAAAAATCCAAACAAGCCAAATAAAACCATCTTACTTGTGGGTGAAACAGGAACAGGAAAATCTACTCTGATCAACGCTTTTTTCAACTACAGCATGGGAGTGAAGTGGGAGAAAAATGCCTGGTATCAGATTGTAGTGGAGGAGGAGAAAAGTCAGACAGAAAGTCAGACATCAAATGTGATCGTGTACGAGATCTTTGATTTTAAATATAACACTCTGCCCTATTCTCTGACCATCATTGATACGCCTGGATTTGGAGACACCAGAGGGAAAGAAAATGATAACATGATCAGTCAACAATTATTGGACTTGTTCAGGTCAG